TAAAGGGGACTTGATGGCAACGGGATTGGTTTGAGGTGGGGCGCCCCCACCCCACCTCGTCTCGTCCACGCCCTAGGCGCGACAACTTTTTGTCCCGATTAATTTTTTTTATTTTTTATATATTTTTACTTTTTTACATTTTCAATTTTTCGAGTTATTTCATTATTAGATAATAAAATACAAATTCAAAATGAATTTTTAACTGGTGAATTGTTTAGAAATAAAATTATTTTTAATCTTTTTTTCTTTCACGAGACAGGTTCGGAGCGGGGCTTCCTCGCCCCAACCTTGCCTCTGCCCCCACCTCGCAACCCGCTCAGGACGGGTTTTTTTGCCCCATTTGAGGGCGGGACCCCATTGAGGTGGTACGAGGCAGATTTTTTTTTGCTTTATAGGGACATCTTATCCTAGCTCAAGTCTAAAGTTCTTGGCCTATAGTTGTGGGCTTGAAACTTGGGCCAGGAACTCAAGACTCAATTGATGGATCTATTCGTAGTGTTGTGACAAATAAAGTTCAATTGAGTCTTGAAGCCTATATTTGGTATAAATTTTATTATTATTATTATTATTATTTTTAAATTACACATTCTTTTAATAAAATAATTTTACACTCGAACTTAATACTTTTTCCTATTTTTCATGCAAACATTCTTCAAAAAACAAATCACTTTTCACAAAATTTATTCTAAAAAAATTTACATCCAACACGCATGAAGTGATAACTCATGACAAATAATGAAAATCGAGCAAGGTCTGCCCAAAATTTGTGGGCCTACGTTAAAAGGTTACTTGAACTGCCTAAAATGAGGTCTCTTGTGCCGAGCCAATAATTAGCTCATCGTTGCGCCTTATTAATTAAAAACTCCCTTTTCATCCACAAATTCCCTCAATAAAATAATTTTACAAGTGAATTCAAAAGCTTTTTCTATTTTTAACTATACATTGATCTATTTTTTTCCAAAAAATGGAGCTCAAACAAAGAATAATGTTATCTACTTACACGGTTGATCGTCAGCAATTTAGTTATCAATTAAGTGGGATTAAATAATTTGACTTCTTAAAATTATAGATATGAATTACATTTAAGATGTTCGATCACTTAATTACGTCCAAACTACTGATAATTAGATACAACCTTTTTCTCTAGGCTTGATGTGTGAGGGCCATCCATGCATTGCTTTTGTGTTGACTAAATGTACTACAACTAGTTTAGTGTTTCAATTGATCAAAATGCATTTAAATTTCATTAAGCCCTTAATTGATCTCCATTTATTTGTAAAATATAAATTTCTCTCTCTTCTTTTCTACCGCACATTTTTCAATAAAATATACTATACGTAAATTTAAAACTTTTCCTTACTTTTAACCACAAATTTTTCATTAATTTACTATTCCAAAATACATTATTAAGATTTAATGAGGTTCAAACAAGCGCTACATAATAAATTAATTGAGTTAAGGGCCCAAACATCAGCTAAGTAGAGTCCATATATGTTGTCTTAACTTGGTTGTGTCCTTACCTCGTCCCCAAATTTGACAACTTGCCATAACGGTCGTCAAATTTTTATTAAAATACTTTTTTTTTAATAATATGAACTATGTCCATTAAAATTTTGACACCTCAATTTTGTAGTGAGATGTCAAAATTTTTGAAATGTGAAGTCAAGTCGGGACAGCTAATTTGAACTTTAATTGAGCATCGATGGTTCCAGTCAATGTTACATTGCTCAATTTATTTGTTAAATATTTTAAATTTTATTTTGTTAATCATTTTGAAAGAATAATTTAATAATGACTTACATAGATCATAAGCTTCTAAAGCCAAACTCCGTTTCTAGAATTTGAATGACACGTTTAATAAAATAAATTGAGAGGCTCTAGATAGTAATAAAGAATTAAAAAAAATTGAAAAATGATTGCTTCACAGAGTAAAATTTCGATAAATGAATATTCACTGAATTAAATAATTCCACGTTAAGTAATAAAATTTATTGTTCTCGAATTGGAATAATATAATAAATTAATAATATTGCTAAATGCATAAGATAGAACTGAAGAATCTTATATATTGTCAAGAGAATTGATAGTGATTTTCAAGCCTTTTGATGAGAAATAAGGAATGACACTTATTAGTAGAAAATGGTATTGACCCTTTCCAATTCAATTCTAAATTAGAGAATGCTTCCAAAAGGAGTAGCGATGCCATATATCTGCATAAAGTCATTATTAATAGCCTTATTTATAAATAATGAAAATCGAGCAAGGTCTGCCCAAAATTTGTGGGCCTACGTTAAAAGGTTACTTGAACTGCCTAAAATGAGGTCTCTTGTGCCGAGCCAATAATTAGCTCATCGTTGCGCCTTATTAATTAAAAACTCCCTTTTCATCCACAAATTCCCTCAATAAAATAATTTTACAAGTGAATTCAAAAGCTTTTTCTATTTTTAACTATACATTGATCTATTTTTTTCCAAAAAATGGAGCTCAAACAAAGAATAATGTTATCTACTTACACGGTTGATCGTCAGCAATTTAGTTATCAATTAAGTGGGATTAAATAATTTGACTTCTTAAAATTATAGATATGAATTACATTTAAGATGTTCGATCACTTAATTACGTCCAAACTACTGATAATTAGATACAACCTTTTTCTCTAGGCTTGATGTGTGAGGGCCATCCATGCATTGCTTTTGTGTTGACTAAATGTACTACAACTAGTTTAGTGTTTCAATTGATCAAAATGCATTTAAATTTCATTAAGCCCTTAATTGATCTCCATTTATTTGTAAAATATAAATTTCTCTCTCTTCTTTTCTACCGCACATTTTTCAATAAAATATACTATACGTAAATTTAAAACTTTTCCTTACTTTTAACCACAAATTTTTCATTAATTTACTATTCCAAAATACATTATTAAGATTTAATGAGGTTCAAACAAGCGCTACATAATAAATTAATTGAGTTAAGGGCCCAAACATCAGCTAAGTAGAGTCCATATATGTTGTCTTAACTTGGTTGTGTCCTTACCTCGTCCCCAAATTTGACAACTTGCCATAACGGTCGTCAAATTTTTATTAAAATACTTTTTTTTTTAATAATATGAACTATGTCCATTAAAATTTTGACACCTCAATTTTGTAGTGAGATGTCAAAATTTTTGAAATGTGAAGTCAAGTCGGGACAGCTAATTTGAACTTTAATTGAGCATCGATGGTTCCAGTCAATGTTACATTGCTCAATTTATTTGTTAAATATTTTAAATTTTATTTTGTTAATCATTTTGAAAGAATAATTTAATAATGACTTACATAGATCATAAGCTTCTAAAGCCAAACTCCGTTTCTAGAATTTGAATGACACGTTTAATAAAATAAATTGAGAGGCTCTAGATAGTAATAAAGAATTAAAAAAAATTGAAAAATGATTGCTTCACAGAGTAAAATTTCGATAAATGAATATTCACTGAATTAAATAATTCCACGTTAAGTAATAAAATTTATTGTTCTCGAATTGGAATAATATAATAAATTAATAATATTGCTAAGTGCATAAGATAGAACTGAAGAATCTTATATTGGCAAGAGAATTGATAGTGATTTTCAAGCCTTCTGATGAGAAATAAGGAATGACACTTATTAGTTGAAAATGGTATTGACCCTTTCCAATTCAATTCTAAATTAGAGAATGCTTCCAAAAGGAGTAGCGATGCCATATATCTGCATAAAGTCATTATTAATAGCCTTATTTATGATTGAATAAATATCGGTTTGACCTTTTCCTATTATGAGAGGATTGGGATGTTATCCACTTTTTTCAATAATCTACCATAGAGGTGGTAAAAAAATCTGTTCAACCTGATATTCGTGGGGTCTTGCCCCGAATGGGTAAGGAAATACCCGTTTAATCGGGTACGTGAGACGGGTATGGGATGAGGGTCATTGTCCTGAAGTGGGTATGGGATGGATATAAGAAACATAGTCCCTACCCTGTTACCCGCCCCATTTAATATTAATTTCAAATATAAGTTTATATCAAACAAAAATAATTGACTTATCATCATTTTCAAAGAGAACATAAGTTGTTTTTAACAAATTGAGGAAATAATAATAATATTTATTAACTAAGGACATAAAAAAATAAAAGCCAAAAATAAAAAAAGAAAAAGAAAAAATAAATGGGGCATGAGACTTGCCGCCCCACCCCGCCCCCGTCCCACTCCCGACCTATCCCCGACTTAAAAGGGTATGAAGCGGGTATGGGACGTGAAGATATCTAGTGGGGCGGCGGTGGGGAAGGGTGACCTGACCCATACCCGCCTCGTTGTTATTACTAATCTACGTTACGTCTTTCGATAATCAAGAAAGTAGCAAACTTGGAGATGGAAGTCTTTTTTCATTTCTCAAAGTTGAAATAACCTCCCAAAAAAAAAAAATATCAAATTAGATAACAAATAAAAAACTTTATTAAAATTCATCTAAGGTGGGATGAAAATATAAAATTTAACTGCTTAAATATGTAAAATTTCATAAAAAATCAATAAAATTTTTACTTGACAACTATTATCATGGCAAACTTTTTTCCTTAAACTATGCATATAAAGTTATGCACTTTTTCTTTGTATTCAAATTGAACTCAGTTTGATCCTTAATTTCATATACATATTTTGGTGTGTGTGTCTATATATATAGAAAGTAACTTTTGTGATTACGAAACTTGAAAAACATTTTTTGAAAAACCATTGATAAAATACTTATATATAATCTAAATTATAATACGCATGTATTAATATTCTTAAAATAACCTCTTCATTCGTATGTTCTTTCATTAGGATAATTCAAGAAGTGACAGAAATTCATTGCATTTTTGTAGCATGCCTAAAAATAATTTTTTACATCTATTGATGTATTAATAAATGGATAAATTGATAAGTCTCTAACTTTCTTTATCTCAACATTATTATTTATAGAGACTTTACCGTATCAATTGTTTCTAATTCATCCACACTTCTTTCTATTTTTTGTGCAAGGTTTAAGAGCTTATTCTGCTAATAAGCATGAAAGAAGGCGAAACTACCTTAAGTAATTCTGACGAAATATATTGGAGATTTTTAGTTCAAAATTGCACTGGCAAGAGTATTAAGATAAAGAATTAAAAAAGAAAGAAATAAAAAATTGCACCGGGAGATTCGAAGTTCACTCACCGGAATCTGAGCTGCACTCCCAAAAGCAAGCAACAATTGAGGAATCGAACAAACCAACAAACAACCTACGATCTGAAGATCCTCTTTCCATTTTTTCAGTGTTGTCAAAATCTTCTCCGCCTGTAATTTCCACTCATTTCTCGGACTCTCTCTCTCTTCAATTTTACCATTTCTCTGATCCCTTTAATCCATTTTTGTATTGGCAATTTTTTCCCCGCATATTTCGAGAAGAAAGGGACAGAGAGTATGAAGGAGGAGACGGGGAAAGTGGCAGTAGCGGTGGCGGTGATAGGGGCTGCCGCGGCGGTGGGAGTGGCTGCATATATTGTTAGGCAGCGGATGAAGAGCTCCGGGGAGTGGGCGAGGGCTATGGCGATTGTTAAGGAATTTGAAGAGAAGTGTGGGACTCCAGAGGTGAAGCTTAAGCAGGTGGCCGATGCCATGACTGTGGAGATGCACGCCGGATTGGCATCGGAGGGCGGGAGCAAGGTCAAGATGCTCATTAGTTATGTAGATAACCTCCCTACTGGGTATAATTCTGAATTACTTAATTTAGAGAGATTGAATTTCATCTTAAAAGTTCAACCTTGAGAGAACTAATCTCTATTTAGTTCAATCTCTTTTTTATTAGCTTCAGTAACACGCAAATCATTTCTTACTGTTTCACTTCAGGATATGGAAATAGAATTCATGCATTGTTAGGCACATGGGCTATTCTAGATGTCTACGTTAACGATTCGCTTTTCTAGAAATCAAGAATAAAGAAAAGAAACTGACGATAAAATAAATTTAGAAATCCGTTCTTTTGTAATTCTATTGGATTTTGATTAAAATTGTTTTGCATTTATCTGAATCTCTGTATTTTGTTAAATCACTAGCTAAACGCGTCTTTTGCTTTATCTCAGTGACGAGGAAGGAGTTTTTTACGCATTGGATCTTGGTGGAACAAATTTTCGTGTGTTGCGAGTACAATTGGGAGGTAAAGAAGTTGGTATTGTTCATCAGGAATTTGCCGAGGCGTCCATACCTCCAGCTCTGATGAGTCATTCTTCAGATGTAAGCTAACGATCCCTTTTTGTTATTCCTTTAATTATTTGGTCCATATACACGATTCTGAATTTTTTCAGAACCTTTTAATTTCAGGCGCTTTTTGATTATATAGCGGAAAAACTTGCAAATTTTGTTGATGAAGAGGAACAAAGGTTTCAGCAACCTCCGGGTAGGCAGAGGGAACTAGGCTTCACTTTCTCGTTTCCTGTGATGCAAACTTCAATAAATTCTGGTACTCTTATCAGGTGGACGAAGGGCTTCTCTATTGATGATGCGGTAATTTCTTTCCCGCAAGCTTATTTTGCTTATTTAATTACATTAGTTCTTTAGTTAGAATTAGTTCCATGCTAGCTTGTAATTGCAGCTATCAAAATATTGAATTTCGTAGAATCTTCTGTGCAAACCTTTTTCTGTTTTCAGTAGTTTTATTCTCTACTTCTAATTTCCAATTATTATTTCTCGATCTCCCTGAATTATGCTCAATGTCCAATTTATTGTCATAGAGTTTACTCACTATGCTGCTTTTCAAGCAATAATTCTTTTCTTCTTCTTCATTTATTTATTTGCTAAAGAAATTCAACCTTGATCCTCTCCCATTAGTGTATCTTATGGTCATTCTCATTTCCAAAAGGATATCTGAGTCAGATTGTGTGTATTTCCTCCAAAAATTGATCTATTCTCTTGATTTTCTTTTTCTTTCATGGAGAACAACCCAATGTTAAGATGCTGTTATGCTCTGAAGTTTACATCTGCTCTTCTCCATGTATTTATACGAAATACCAGTTTGTCTCTGTGGTACTGTACCATTCTGTAAGAAGTATTGAATTTAGCTGGTAGAATAATGCCAAAAATGACCTACTTCTATTGAGTGCGTGAACTTAAATGCATTGCCTTGATATTCATCCTTGGGATGATTTCTCAGTTCCTGTACAAAATTCATTATTGAATTCAGAGTGACGCAAACCTCATGTTTCAATCCTGATAATTCTATTGTTATAGGTAGGCCAAGATGTGGTGGCTGAACTGACAAAAGCCTTACAAAGAAAAGGTGTTGAAATGCAGGTAGCAGCTCTGGTAAGTTTTAGCATGTTTTCCTAAGCTTGAAAAACCGACTTTATTTATTGACAGTAAGTAAACATTTTGCTGTCATTTTTTGAAAAACCTCAAACATGTTTGAAAATAAAGTTACGTAAAAGTGTTAAGCTTAGTCAAACATGCTCTGTCTGTTTTCTACTGATGAATGCAATCCACTAATAAAAGTTACAAGGATCCTGTATATGTAAATCATTTTTTTTTTTTTTTTTAGCATCCTGTATGAATATCAAATTATTTTTTGGTTTTTATATATACATGCATAATTTTTTGCTAGGTGAATGATACAATTGGAACATTGGCCGGAGGCAGATACTCCAATAAGGATGTTTCTGTTGCTGTGATATTGGGTACTGGAACCAATGCAGCATATGTAGAGCGTGCTCAAGCAATTCCAAAGTGGCATGGTCCGCTGCCTAGATCTGGAGATATGGTCAGCAAAATTTTAATAGCTGATTACAGTAAAACATCGATAAGTGAATATTCGATAAATTGACAATCCCTCTTAAATAAGGCTAGTAAATCATAAGATCATAAATCTATTTATAACCCTCTAAGGACTGACGAAAATATAAAATAATGTGTTAAGTATGTAAATTATATAATACATATATTAATGACTTTTTTACTTGACAACAATTTTTTCAATTTTTTCTTTTCTGAAGACATGCATATAAAGTTGCTTATTTCTTCTTTGTAATCAAACCGAACTCAACTTGAATATATATATATATATATATAAAAGGATTTTTATTTTTAGTTTATTATTATTATTATTATTATTATTATTATTTTTTTTTTTTGGAAAAATAGTTGGTACTATCATCTAAATCATAATAATTATTGGTACGCATAAATCTGTACCCCTTGAATAATATCTTCATTAATATGCTGTTTCGTTATTGTATAATTGTCACTGGGATAATTCAAGAGGTGCTTGACATCATCACATTTTTGTAGACTTCCAAGTTATTTATCATAAATAATAAGCTCTTTAAATTAATAATTTTCTCAATCCCAACATTATTGTTTTATAGAGGCTTTATTGTATTTGCATTAGTTCTATGGTATCGAGTCTTATTAATTCAACCAAGAACACTAGAAACTGTCTTAGATATATTCTAAAACTGTTCTTTTATAATTCGGAATGAATACTGGTCCCAGTTCAACACGGAACTAGTGAACTGATCATGGGTTGACTGGGTTTTTCCATTGCATTTTTGTTAAAAGAAATTTCTGGTTGAGTGATTGAGCCTTCTCATATATCAAGATGTTCTATTACGAGCCTGTTCGTTAGTGATTATGAGAATTGATTTTTTTATTGTTAGAGAGAAATGTGGGTCCTACTTATGAGCGAAGAAGTAAAAAATGACGGCTGGAATAGTGAAATAAAGATAAAAAAATTGATTTTTTAGGTTGAATATTGCTAACAAACGGGGGCTATATCGTAAAACTTAAATGTTTGGTTTTTGTTTTTATTGTAATATTGAAATTTTGTTTGTGAACTTTTCATGGCATATTTACATATTCATTTGATTAATTAATTAGTTTTCACATCCGGGTTTGACTTGGGTCAATCCCAGTTAAACCCTTTGGTCATGGACCCTCCACCTTTCCCAGATCAAGGCCTGGCTGGGTTTATAACATTCGATGTACTTGGGTACAACTGTAATTGACATCCTGCTTTTGCTATTACGTGATGGTTGATAGTTAGGTTATAAAAACTCATGGGTATTGAAGCCTTGATCTTTTAATGTAGGTTATCAATATGGAATGGGGTAACTTCAGGTCGTCCCATCTTCCATTGACGGAGTTCGACCATGCATTGGATGTCGAAAGTTTAAATCCTGGCGAACAGGTGATAACTTCCCCATGCATAAGCTATTTCAGTTGTAGTATTCAGTTGAGACTTACTTTTAGCCCCTGTTTGGTAACGATTTTAATCTAAATTAAAGTCAACAATTAATTTTAACCGCACATTCTATGGAATTCACCCAACTTTTCAACTACACATTTTATCAGCTTTTATCAAAATCTACTAAAAATCTAATTTTAATCTCCTCCAAGCATGGGCTTAATAAGATGTCCAATCCTTAAATGCCTCACCACCCTTTAAAATTTGCTATGTGTTTACCCTGGACAGGAATGTATACTTTATTTAACTGATGGTGCTATCTATTTCAGATATTTGAGAAGATAACTTCTGGCATGTACTTGGGAGAAATTTTACGCAGAGTTCTACTTAAGATGGCTGAAGAAGCTGCTTTCTTTGGGGATGAGGTCCCACCCAAACTCAAAATTCCTTTCATATTGAGGTACCCTAAAGGCTTTGACTTTCATTTTAGTAAGATGGTAGATTTTGAAAATAACATATATCTCAATAAGCCTATGTTTGGCAAGTGTTTATAAACAAATATAATTTATTGGTGGAAAAATGGGTAGTACTTGTGGGTCCCACGAGATATGTGGATAAAAAGTGGTTTGACTTTTAGCAAGCGTTAACATACATGTCTATAAACACTTGCTAACATACTTCAAGTCAGATGCCATCAAGTTTGAAGTGCTTTGTGGAATCGGTGTTTTTGGCATAATATTGATGATGTGGTTAATTTATTTCGCACTCTGTTTGTTCACATATATATTAGTATATGGGTAATGCTTTAAATATATTCTTACAAAACAAGAAAATAAAATATACTATGTATAATCTGGGATTGATTTCTAAAAATATTTATTAAATCGATTTTTCATCACCTGGGCTAAACTGAAGCATGAAGAATTACCCATCTTCATTTTATGATATTTTTCTTCGATCCGTGGAACCAAAAATGAAAATAAATGAAGAGGAAAAAGTGAGGTTGCTAATGCAACAAAAACTCAAATTCAAGATACAGTTTGCCTTTAGAAGGTTAGTGCAAATCATTGCCTGCACTACATTGTAGGCAGGCATCCACCTTCGCATCCAATGGATTGATTTCGTTCCCTGAGAATATTAGTACATTATCAGACTCTACTATACAAGATAACAGACAGGATTTTTGCTTCTTTTTTCCATTTTTAATTCTTGTTCAGTAATATACAGTCAAATTCACAAACGTGCTATCATTGTATAATCTTGATATTGCTCTGTTTAAAGGCCTTATGCAGACGTATTCTCTTGTCAGCTCTCCTTTTTGTGCACGAACTTGCGCTGATTTGTTTTTCAGATTTTGTGTTTCCCATATTTACATGTTATATTTTTATGGAATTGATACTCATGAAATAAGTTAAATTTGAAGCTATATAACTATGCAGGACGCCGGAAATGTCTGCAATGCATCATGACATGTCCTCTGATCTTAGGGTGGTGGCCAACAAACTGAAGGATATAGTAGAGGTATATTTATGTCCTTACTAAAACACTGCCTTTTTGTTAATCGTATCTAATTGTTCCATTTTTTTTTTTTCTACTTTTTTAGCATAGGATGAAACTTGGAGGCCATAATTTAAATTGAATTTTTGATTCCTGGTTGAACACCAGGTAGAATTGTGGAATAGCTGTATATTTTTCCAGATTACGACGTCAAAATAGGGTCTTAGTAGTGTAACTACGGTAACCGTTCTGCCATTGGATGAAAATTTGAGTAGTCAAGGAATTTAAGCGAACTCTTGAGCACTTTGCAGAATAAATTGTTGATTTCTTTGCAGAATATACATTTTATGTCTTCTTATTCATTCATAATGTTTTTCGTTTTTCTCCTGCCTCAGATATCTAATACCTCCCTGAAAACAAGGAGAGTTGTCGTTGATCTCTGCAACATTGTTGCCACCCGCGGGGCCAGACTTGCAGCTGCCGGGGTTCTGGGCATCCTAAAGAAAATGGGACGAGATACTTTGAGGGAAGGTGGGCCCCAGAGGACTGTCATAGCCATGGACGGTGGACTGTATGAGCACTACACTGAATACAGGACGTGCTTAGAGAACACATTGAGGGAGTTGCTTGGGGAGGAAACTGCATCAAGCATTGTAGTCGAGCACTCCAATGATGGTTCGGGCATTGGGGCTGCTCTTCTTGCAGCTTCTCACTCCTTGTACCTTGAAGAGAATTCGTAAGTAAATCACAACCTTTTCCCGAGAAAACTTCATCCTGAAGCTACTTTGCGTAAATGTAACTTCAAATTTTGCCATTGCTTAGGATGTATTTTCTGTTTTCTTAAGACATTTCTGGCCATTATTTTTATCCTCGCATTTCATAGTTTTTTCTGGCCATTATTTTTATCCTCGCATTTCATAGTTTAGGAATCAAATATTTATGTTTTATGGGAAACAGTATATACAGAATTAGATGTAATTGGAGGAGCTGGAAGTAGCCTATGCTTTTCCAATGAGCGCTGCGCGCTATTAATTCAAGAATTTTTAGTTGTTTTTTTCAATTGATGCGTCCTATGATTGCAACTATATTGAGTGCTTTCAGATTATAAATCTACTGTTGTTTTTCTGCTTTTGAATTATAGCTTGTGCAAGGAAAAAGAGATCTTGAATATCTTGAAGTTGTCTCATTAAAACTAATGTAGTTGTAAAAAATCTACGGAGTAAAGATTCGTACTCGCAAGGAAAATTTCTGATAAGCATTCTATTAAAATTTGGAGTTCAATGTTAAAAGATCAATTTTTAGTCTAAATCCTTGTATATTGATTTATATTTTGATATTTAATCGATGTGAGATATATTTCTTAACCTGTTTTCGCAATATGGTGACTTGTTTGAACAGATCAATCTTGAAATTCGTGTATACGTTTTGAGTTTTAATGATATTAAATTGTTCATTTGAGTTTAACAAGCTCTGATGTTATATTTAAACTTAGAATTCCATCTTAAAAAATCTACCATATTAAGAGTAACCCTAACCCTTGTATATTGGGACTATATTTCAATATTTAACCAATGTAAAATATATACGTTAACACATTGTATTCCTTTCATTATCTTTGAACACACGAGTGAGTATATTTCTCACTTCCATCTAAAAAACCTGTAATCACTTCCCCTCCTTCCATGTTCCTGTTCTTGATTCCATTTCCACCAGCAGAAGAATTGCATTGAGCTAGAAAAATGAAAGTATATGAAATGATCAGTATCTTTCTAAAAAAATATTCAATTTCTTCATGTAATCAGGTCTAGACCAAAAGATTAAATGGACGCTGTTGTAAAATCTCGAGAAGCGGAGTCTGAAAATATAGTCAAAATAAGAGAAGAATCAAACACAAGAAATGTAGAAGATGGAGATCAAATAAAATGACAAAAAGATGAGAATAAACCCAGAATTAGAGGTTAACATGCTTGTGATACGCTGTTCTAAAAGTGTACTTATCCCCTATTATCTTTAAGATTGCTTAAAATACTTGACAAATAGCTCCAAGAATAAATCAGATCTTGAAGGTTAATCACCAAGCAAAGATGAAGAACCTTTAAGATCAAAGAACACTTTAAAGAATTTCTGAATGTTGGATGATCTGGAGTTCGTAATTTATTATCATTTTAATCCTCTTGTATTTCTATCTAGCAACATCAATACATTTATAGATATTAACACCTCAACCTTGCTACAGGAGCATGCTTATTGATAGACCTTTTTTTTTTTTTTAACAGATATACACTTGGCGAAATTTCATTAACCGTTAAAATAAAAAAATAAAAAGAAAGAAAGAAAAAACTGTCAATAAAAAATTGCCATTTTATTCCCTGCAAATGGTCCCCATCATTGAGCCTGAATAGTTTAACCCATAACTAGTGATGTCAACGGGGCGGGTTCGGGATGGGGCCCCTTTTTCCCACCCCACCCCCCGTCCCGCCCTGCACCCTGTCC